AAGGAGATACAGAGAGATGCCCTGAGGAGAAAGGAGCAGGTTCTTCAGGCAGGCTACCAGAGTACCTGTGATGGGATGAGAGGTGGCCTGCAGAGCTAAAATGTCTGAGGGGGTCAGGGGTGGAGATGCGGATCGGTTGGTAGCGTGTTTGCCTGGCACGCGCTAAGCCCCAGGTTTGATCCCTAGCACCGAATAAGTCAGGTGTGGTGCCACCTGCCTATAATCCTGTCGCTCAGGGGGTGGGTACAGGATTAAGAAGTTCAAGGTCATCTCCAGCTACACAGTGAGTTCAAAGTCTAGACTACAGGAAAAACAAAAACAAATGTCTAGGGGGACTGTGAGCTCTCCTGGCTGGCTTCAGACTTGGGAATTTGGGGACTCAGGCCTTTGAATTTAAGAACCGGTCACTGTAGCAGACAGGCCCAGAAAACAGAAAGAGAAGTGGCAAGCTTGAGTCCGTCTGCACACCGAAGTGGTCTGATGGGTCATGAAGATGCCGATGGTCCGATATCCCATCCCCACCCACCCCCATCCCCATCCCCGCTTCTCTGTCCCGGTGAGGATGCATTTATGCATTTCTCCATTCAACCAACCACTCCCCCTGGGGTCCCACTGGGGCTGGGAGCTTTTGTAGCATCTCCAGCATGGGCCAGGGGTGACACACATGTGGACCTGCAAGCCTCCCGGGCTGCTTGCTGATGCTGGCACAAACTGAAGGTCACTAAAGGGAAAGAGAGCCCAAGGCAGAGGCCAGCACAGCTTTGGCACTTTAACAGTAGTCTAGCTGGCCCTTCTAAGGCGGTGGGTAACCTTTGGGTAAATTAGACCCGGCACCAGGCAGAGGGTACAGCCTGGCAGAGGCCTAGAAGTGAAACCCGCTTGTGGAGCCATGGGCCTGGAGCCCTGTGGAGGCTGGGGTGGTAGGAAGTAGCCAGGAGACACATGGAGCTGACTCCTTGGGCCTCATCTATTCTGAGTTAAACAGCATTTAGCAGCTGAGCTGCTGTCCAGCATTGACTGGAGGTCTGGCAGGGACAAAGGTTGGACAGGGAGGCCCCTGGGCAGTGGGCACTAGGCACTGTTCAGGTTCAGATGCTTGTTCTGCACTCAGGCCTCATCTTCCTGAACCCCTGCATGTGGAAACCAAGGGTTAGGGATTGGGAGCCAGCCCAGACCTCTCTTGGGGATCAGGGAAGAAGTGGGACTATGAGTCTCAAGAGCCTTGTCTGTCTACTTCTCTCTTGGCCTCAGTTTCCCCAAATGCCAACAGAAGCCTCGAGCTACTATTCTTCCCACTGCTCTGTTCATCCATCTCGGCGACGGGCGAGGCCTCCCGGGTAAACAGCCCAGCCAGGCACATGGATTCATAAGAAAGCCATGAAGGCAGGCACTCAGGGAGACTTCGTGGAGTAGGTACCGTGGGCTCAGTGACCAAGGGAGGGCAGTCCAGGTGGCAAGAGCACCACATGTGAGGGAGTGTGAAGGGACACAGGGTGGGCATCCAGGCAGGAGAGATGGGCAGAAGACAGCATGCAGATAGCATGAAGTCTACGGACCCTGAAGGTCTTGGCTTCCTGAGGTGGTACTTGAGACAGCATCTGCACAGGGACGCATTCAGCACATGCCTCGGAGTTCACCTGCTCAGAGGGGCCCATCCAGGGGTTTTAGTGCACTCACGGGGCCATGCAAACGCCGCCACATCAATTTCAGGATATTCTCATCGCCCCCAAAGTAAGTCTGTTACCCATTAGCGGTTATTTCCCATTCTCCCCTATCCCCTGCCCTTGGCAGCCACACATCGACTTCCTGTCTCTTCAGATGCGGCTCTCCTGCGCCTATGTCCTATAAATGGAATCGTACTTTTGTGACTGGCTTCTTTGAGAGAGCACAATGTTTTCAAGGTTCCCCGGTGGGAGCCCGTACCCAGGCTTCGTTCCTTTTTGCAGCCAAATAATATTCCATTGTCTGCCGCTGCTTCTCTTTCGGTCACATGGAACAACTTGTATTTGAGAGAGCTGGCTGAGGAGGTTGGGCAGGAGGAGGCCAGATGGTCCTGCGAGGCCAAGGAGTGGGTGGGAAGAACTTTCTTGATGCCTGCAGGGGCGGGAGCTGGCCAAGAAGAGGCAGGCGTGGGACCCTGCTGTGGAGGGAAGACCTGGTAATTGAGTGGCTGCAGGGGGTGGGAGGGGAGGGGGTGCGGACACGGAAGGGGGTGCTTCTGGTCACCGGGGTGGAGAGTGAATCGACCTCCCAGGCTGAAGAGGAGCAGGGTTTGAGGAAGGTTCTGGGACTGAGAGTGGTTGGTGGGGAGGTGACTGGGGAACCGGCTAGGGTCAGGCTGGCCTGGGACACGGTAGCCCCGCACAGCAGCTGGGAAGGTGGTCCAGATGGAAGGGCTGGCATGGCACAGAGGGGAGAGAGCAGCCACCTGCCAAGCAGCCAGGAACTGGCCAGCAGATGGAGCAGGCACCGAGCGCCGTACACGCTCCGATGAGAGAGCCGGGAGGAGTCCAAGCGTGGGGCCAAATCCTCTGGTATCTTTAGGATAGTTCTAGATCCTCCCACAAGCCCCGTGCTCCCCTGTGCAGAGAAGGACACAAACCCTGAGAGGCTAGCCCTGGGCTGGTGCCAGTCTGTAGCCAGTATGGCTGCACACCCCAGGATCCCTGGGCCATGCTGAGATGGTAGCCCACTATTTTGGTCCACAGCAGTGAGGACTGGTGAATTCGAGAAGGTGTCAGTCCACAAAGCCAGAGCTGCAGGGGTGCCCAGACGGTGCCCAGAGTAGCAATTGTTGATCTACCCACTCTCCACCAACATGTGGGGACTGTGGATAAAAAAGGAAGTCACTCTGGACTCTTAAGGTGGGAGGGAACAGAGGAGGCCTCTGCAGCCAGACGGCCTGGGGCTGACCCCAGCTCTGCTGCCAAAGCCCCATCCTGGGACAGTGCCTTCCCGTCTCGTGCTTCAGTTGCCCTGCCTGGATGCGAGAGCGGCAGGGTGACTGTCAGCTCGGCCTCAGTAAGCTTCCCGGGATGGGAATGGCCAGATTCTTAGGACAGAGCTAACTCTCCAGGGGACTCAGAACTGCTGCTGTATGCAGGTTGGTACCGTGGGACCCTCCTTGGTGCTGTCGCTTAAACCTGGCTGTTTGTGATGAGGCCCTGTCTAAGCGCTTGTGTCCCCACAGAGCCAGGGTGGCCACCGATGCAAACCTCTATCCTAGAAGCAGGCAGGAGAGGCGGGCCTGAGAGGGGCTGTCCCAGCGTCTGTAGGCGTTATGCTGAGCTTGGTACTGAGCACAACCCCTTCCCCGCCCTGTACCAGGTGCTCTGTCCCTGTGCCTTCATAGGCACATGGTGTGGCAGGAAATCTTTTCACCAGTAAGGACACTTCAGCTCAAAGAGGTCAATTCACTCATCCAAGGCCACTCAGCAGCTTGATTTTGAACGAGGTCATTGTGTCTATGCCAAGATTGCTCCCGCCCCTTTGTACAGAGGTGAACCAGCAGAGTGTTCTCCGAGGCGCTGAGTGCTGTTGCCCTGTTTCGTGGACACACCTGAGCTGGTTCGGTCACTGGTCATGCTGCACACCCAGGTGGATATGGGATTCGCCAGGCAGCCTGCTTCCTAAACCGTGTTCACTGCCATCCCAACTTCTTAGTCTCTAAAGTTCTCTTTCCACTGAAGCAGGCAGCATTTATACAGCACTTACTGAATACCCACTCATAGGCTAGGCAGAGGTCAAGCAACGGTCATTAAGGTGTGGCTTCTGGGGCAGCTGAGAAGATGGCCAGGAAACCCTGTACATGGGTCATCATGGCAGGAGGATAAAGCCTTGGAATTCAGGTTTTGTTTCAAGCCCCAGGAAAGGCGGGATCTCTGACCTGGAGGCTCAGCTGGCGGCAGATGAATCGCTAAGACTTAGGACTTGAAAAGTACAACACCCAGGGCTAGAAAGACGAAGTAGGACAATTTATGTTAGCTGTCTCTATACAAGAAATGGATGTTCAGAGAGGTGCAGTCACTTGCTAAAAAGTCACACAGCACCCAGGCATGGAATAGATGTCTTCCAGATGAGGATCACTGGCCTGTAGGTGAACTAGCAGCATTTCATCCCAGGGAGTTTTTCCTCTGAAGTTCTTTCTCATTCACCCCCTCACTTAGAGACTGAGAGAGACAGAGCCCAGCCAGCAACCTTTGGATTCCCTTCCCGGGACAGCAGGAACGGGTGGGTGGATTTGAACCCACCCTCACTCCTGTGGCTGCCAGCACTGGAACCTAACCCATGCATGCCCTGGCTGCAAGGCAGCTTGCTCCCAAAGAGCAGGAGACTACACCACTTTGGCGTGAGTGTGGACACTGCCCCCTCAGGCTGAACCCAGTACCGCAAACCCCTTTTATTTCAACACATTGGCCAAACTCTACATAATGCCTAGCCTGGCATGGTCTTGTATCAGGCATCCTGTGTGCATGTGCAGAATGCTCACCTTAGGATGATACTTTTACAAATATAGAACCTGCATCATAGAGTGGTTAAACCTCTCACCTAGAGCAACACAAGGGACTCAGACTCAGGTCTCTGTGACTCCAACAGTATCCTCAGTGTGTATCAAGTCATACACAATGCTGTCTGACTGCCCAGGACTCCGTCCGTAACAAAATCATGTCTATGATCTAGAGCCCTATTACCTAGTTACAGGCTAGTTAGCAGCTAGCCAGGTTAAGAACGTAGACTCAGCCAAGCCCCTCCAGGCTGAGGCACCGGTGGGCCAGGACAGTGAGGGGAGATTGCTGAGGGTGCTGAATCCACAGACAACTTCAGAGACAACCGGTTTCCTCTGGAAACCCTGGGCCAGAGCCAGACCGACCAGCTGGACCTGAGACCCCGGAACTTCAGGAGCTGCGTCCCCAGGATCACGGCACAGGTCCCTCCTCATGCCGCATGCTCTATTCATCTCACCTGGCCTCTTTGGTGACCCTCCCTGTGTTCTCTCCCAGGTTGTCCATCAGGAACCTTCAAGGCCAACCAGGGGGATGAGGCCTGTACCCACTGTCCCATCAACAGCCGGACCACCTCCGAGGGCGCCACCAACTGTGTATGCCGCAACGGTTACTACAGGGCTGACCTGGACCCCTTAGACATGCCTTGTACAAGTACGTTCTCTCCCACCCCACCCCCTCCCCAGTCCACTCACAGGAAGGCTCAGCGCAGCAGCCGAGTGCCTGGCGAAGGGAACGGAAAGCCGGTCCTGGGTTGGCACTACACGTTGGCATCTGGCCTCCACCCCCTTCCCCTCGGTCACGTGGAGGATAAAGCCAAGGTCTTGACTCACAGGAGGCTAGGAGGAGGCTTGGCAGAAGAGTCGGCTGACTCCTGCGACAGAGGCTGCAGCTGCAGCCTGAACCTCAGGTCAAAGGTCAAAGTTGTTCTGTCCCCTGCATCAGCCAGGGGTGACAGTCACAGAGCTGACCCCAGTGGCTTAGACCGCACAGACCTATTCTGTCATGTGAAAGGGACTCCAAGGGCTCAGAAAGGTGAACTCAGGATGGCCTCTGGGGCATCTGGCTTTTCCCCCTAAGGTCATTTCTGGCATGGCTGCTGAAGCTCCAGGAGTCAGTCAGTCTGTCTGTCTGTCTGTCTGTCTGTCTGTCTGTCT